ATTTCACGCAACTATTGAATGAAATCCTAATAATTTAAGTCTTGTGTTCTTGATCACTTTCAGGAAAAGAGTAATGTTTTACTACAAGAGTCTTCTAGACGAATCTATTATTTCATGAAAACAGTTTGGGAGGATATTTTCGAGGCACTTCACCATCTCACGCCGACACCCGAAGTCAGAGGCTTCGCTCGAAGCGATAATCCAAGATAGAGATGAATCTCGCCTGACATACATCGAGCGCTTCAATAAGGAAGCAGTACAGGTCTCCACAACTGACAACATAAAGAAATACCTTCTTGAGCGCGGGCTCCGTCCCCGCAGCGATTTCGCTAAAGCGGTGGGCAACGAAACACCGACAACGCTAGACTCCCTCCTCCTCAAGGCTCAAGCATACATACAATACGAGGGGAAGGAAGCCACCAATAGTGCCAGGGAGTCAAGGCACAGAGAAAGTGTCAAATCCTCAAGAAATGACGAACCCTTGATAGTTGGTTATAGAGAACTTAAGAGTATTCATATATTAATGCAAGGTCACCCATTCAAGGTTCTAAAGATAAGGTAAAACTTGAGTGAATCCATGGTGCCTATAATCGCCATTTATGTATTGAAGATAATGACATGCTCTTGAGGATCAATCTCTCCGTCAAATGTCACCAACGTGGGGTTGAAGGTCCAAAACTTATATGCCTTCTAGTTGGTATTTGTTGTCTTATCGTTGTTGTTGATGGATGGTCTGGACAATGATGTGAAGCGTTTGGCTCTAGAAACTTAATTGGACAATAACGACCTTTAGGGGTGATAAACTTTTCATGCACGCCCCATTTAAGCCCTCCCTTAAAAGCCTGCAAAAATGGGGCGGGGGAGGCAGACATTGTTTCGGGGGCGAGTAATTAGGCCTGTGTAGGGCGGGCTTGCGTGCAATGCACCTCTAAAGCCTAAATATTACAAAAAATTATGATGATAGTCGCGCCCGCAAAAGCTTACAAAAAATGGATGAGGCATGTTGGGCAGATTAGAGGGTGCAGCAGACCTAAAACCTTTGTATGTCCTATGAAAAAATATGGGCGAAACGACTATGCCCAACGAGTCTGACCCATTTTACCACCCCTAACGACCTCTATATTTGTGAGGATCTCTTGGTCATGAATATTAGATGAAACTCGTGTAGTCATCATTGTGAAATGACAACGAGGTTAACCTAATTATTAAAAAGGTGTGGTTCTTGAGTGTTTTAAACGAGTCACGCAATGTTGTACTTAAAGTGAGTATAATAGTAGAGACATTGTCTAAGATATGTCAATTCAATGTATTTAGTTTGTGATATGAAAAAATGACCATCAGACCTGGCCTTTGAGATAAATATATAAACCTCTATGACTTAGTGAAATGTATAGAGTCTTGAGACTACATTCTCAATTTTGACTCACATGACCACACTCCATCAAGAAGTGTGGTTTGATACATCATCGAAGACATAACAAAATGTGGTGAGATGACTTTAATATCAACCCACATGTTCATGTCACCGAAACTCATTTAATTTTTCTTTGTGCATGTCATGTGCTCATTAGTGACTAGATTAAGGTTGTTAATCTCACGTAGACTTGAACCACAATAAACATAATAGTTCATAACCCTCCAAACACAAAGTTTGTAAGAGTAAAGTGGTTAAAAAATAATGATCCAATAATTTTTTAAGTTAGTATTTAATATACACCAATATCTTAAAATCAAACACCTTAAAAAAATTATTACATGAACTTTTCAAATAACTCAATATTATTATATTTAAGAGGAGTGCCAGGAATACATTCTCTGACACTCAATTTCTTATTAGTTAAAATACGTGTAGATTTCCCACTTTAAAAATATGTCTCACATAAAAAGATCAAATTCATATTATTTCAACTAATGAAAGAGTGAGTGTTGAAAAAAGAGTTTTCTTAAAATAAATAAATTATATTTAAACATTATTTAACTACAATCATGTAAACACAACTATAAGTATAATATATCTTTTAGGATTTAAAATACATTAATATAAAAATAACATTAATAGAAGACTTACCATCATGATAGTCCAAATTTCTACATTATGTCTATGAGTCCCGTCTAACAAGAGACATGACATTAAAAATATGTTTAGTAAATATAGCTGTTGATTAATCACTGGCGGAGCCAGCGTCCGGCCAGCTAGGGCAGCTGCCCAGGCTCGGCCGCCCCGGTGAGGTACGGTGTTGTTGTTGGCTGGGTTGCGGATTCGCGGTTTGAGTTTCATCGAATCGTTGCTGTGATGCTACAATGTTCCTTAAAAAAAAGAAGACAATCAAGAAAAAGAAAAGGTAAATGAACAATGCAGCAATTCACAAAATTCGTGGAATCACAAAAACTTTCAACCCATTAAGAGCTCTTGTTCTCTACAAGCAAACTCGTTATGAAGGAACACACGACCCCACCGTGATTCCTCAGTTACTCAAACCATGCGATTCTCTCCCCTTCCTTCATTACGTTAAATCCTTACACGCAGACACCATAAAATTCGGTTCGGACACCAACGTGTTCATTGGAACCGCAATTGTTACTGCTTATTCCAAATGTGGTGTTGTTTTGGATGCACGCAAGCTGTTCGATGTTATGCCTGAAAGAAATGTTGTGACTTGGAATGCAATGATCGGTGGGTACTTCAGAAATGGCGACACTGAATCTGCTGCACTTGCGTTTGCGGCAATGCCGGGGAAATCGAGGGTGAGTTGGAGGCAGATGGTCGGTGGGTTTGCGAAGAATGGTGATACTGTAAGGGCTAGGAGATTGTTTGATAGGGTTCCGAATGAGTTTAAGGATGTGGTGATGTGGAGTGTAATGGTTGATGGGTATGCTAAGAAAGGAGAGATGGAGGATGCAAGAGAGGTGTTTGAGTTGATGCCTGAAAGGAATTGTTTTGCTTTGTCATCTATGGTTTGTGGGTATTGGAGGAAAGGTAGTAATGTGGAGGCTGAGGATGTTTTTCGAAGGATTTCCCTTCCGGTTCGGAATTTGGAGATTTGGAATTCCATGATTGCTGGATATGTGCAGAATGGATTTGGTGAGAAAGCGTTGGAGGCTTTTGGCGAAATGAGAGTTGAAGGGTTTGAGGCGGATGAGTTCACTGTTGTTAGTGTTTTATCTGCTTGTGCTCAGCTTGGGGACTTGGATGCTGGCAAACAAATTCATCACATGATAGAATGCAAAGGAATAGGTGTGAACCAGTTTGTTTTGAGTGGATTGGTTGACATGTATGCGAAATGCGGGGACTTGGTTCATGCAAAGGTGGTATTTGATATTTACAATGATAGGAATGTTGTCTGCTGGAATGCTATGATTTCGGGTTTTGCTATCAATGGAAAATGCAAGGAGGTTATTGAGTATTTGCGCAAGATGGAGGAGTCAAATATAAGGCCTGATGCTGTCACATTTACCAGTGTACTCTCGGCTTGTGCTCATGGAGGTTTGGTTAGTGAAGCATTGGAAGTAATATCTAAAATGGAGGCATGTGGAATGGAAATAAATATCTGGCACTATGGGTGCATGGTAGACCTCTTGGGAAGAGCAGGGCGGTTAAAGGAGGCATATGAGCTAATAAAAAGAATGCCTTTGAAACCTAATAAAAATATTTTGGGGGCAATGATTGGTGCTTGTTGGATTCATTCAGATATGAAAATGGCAGAACAAACTATTAAGATGATTGGTACAGACTCAACTACATGTGCTGATTCTCAAGATGTGCTTCTGTCGAATATTTATGCAGGTTTACAAAAATGGGAAAAGGCTGAAATGATAAGGGTGAACATGATTGATACAGGGTCTCGAAAGATACCAGGATGTAGTTCAATCATCCTTAGCAACTCAAATTTGAATTGATAGCGGTGTTTTTAGGCAGTACTTAATTTCACACAAATGAGCGTGTTGAACTAATTTTCTCGGCTTTTATAGGTTTGTTCATTTTGTGAGCACACTTGAAATACTGTAACATATATATATTATAGAATCCGAAATTTTAACATGTATATATTATAAAATCCGAAATCTTACAAATTGAAGAGGTAATTGCAATTCAAGGAAATAATTCCTTTGGGATTAGCATTGTACTGTCTTGGTAGAAAATTATGAAGCCAATGAAAACTTGCCCAGGCTGCATAATTTTCCTGGCTCCGCCACTGTGACTAATAAAGTAGTTTATAGTTTATAATTTATGGTTGATAATTTATAGTTAATGGTTGATAACTTATAAATAATAAGTTAATTAAAATATTTGATGAAATTAATAATTTAATTAAGTAATTAATTAAAATGATATAAAAGACATTTAATATATAATTATTTTATTTTAAATTAAAAAATTATAGAAGATAAAAACATATTTTAGTTAAAATATTAAAAAAACTTATAGGAAAAAATAATAGAGTATAAATTAAAAATATTTGAAATAATATCTAAAAAATAAATTATAAATTAATAAAATAAATTATAAATTCATAATATAAAAACTTTTATAAAAAAATCTTTTATTATTATACAAACTTATAAACTATAAATTCTAAGTTAAAAAAATATCATGCCTAAACAAAAATCCATCAAACAATTGGTAAATAATCAAAAATAATTTATTAATTAACACAATATTTTCTTCATTACAACCATTTTTACACATGAGGATGATATATTTCCGTATTGGGAAAGCTCTCCTCACTAACTCAATTGGGCATACAAACTACTTTTGCCACATCAGCATATGTACAACATTCACTCACTCTTCTACCCTTTATAAAGTCACCCTCTGCTCTTCTATCCTTCATTCAAACTCCTCTCGCAACACAACCCATACACACTTCTTCTCCTTTTCTCATACAATTCCCATACAACTCCAATTGATATCAACACCTCCCTAACTACCATACCCTTCTCTTTTCACCCCCTACCTCCTCATTTCCTAGTTGTTTCTTTTTTTCCACCAAATTCATTGCATGGCAAAAATGTACAAATTAGAAAAAACATCTACAAAACACGAGAGGTTCCTAAACCCTTCATTCTCTTCCACTCTCTTAGACCAAATTTACCGTTCCATCGACAACGGAGAGAAAAATTTACCCACGGAAACCACCACATTCTACCCACAACAAAAACCAACTGTTACCAACAAACTAATATTAACCGACACAAAACACACCAACAACAAACCAAAAACCGAAAAAGCTGTCCCTGTCGTAAAAAAACCCGACAACAGAAAATTTCATCACCGTGATCTCGAACAAGATTATCTGTTCTTCAGTTCCACTTCTATTTCTTCCGATTCTAGCTCCGGCGGATTCTCCTCCGATACAGACTCCTTATATTGCACGAAGTCACGTGCCTCGTCGGGTTTCATCCCACCGAGGCCTAAACCGGTTAGAACAAGCGAGTCATTCCGATTCGAAAGCGAGAAACAGAGGAATCAGGTTTTCGACTGTTATCCTCGAAGTTCAGAAACCAAACACGGCACAGAAAATCGCGGCGAGGAAGCGATTTTAATAAAAAGCAAATCGAGAGCGGTTAAGATTTACAACAATTTGAAGAAAGTGAAGCAACCGATTTCACCGGGTGGAAGACTCACGAGTTTTCTTAACTTGCTGTTTCATAATAATAATAATAATAATAATGAGAAGAAAACTAAAGGTTCTTCTTACGAAGACAAGAGAAAAGTAGCTTCCAGTTCCACAACATGTTCCTCTGCTTCTTCGTTTTCACGGTCTTGTTTGAGTAAAACGGCGTCATTTTGTCATAGAGAAAACTACAAGACGGTGCGTTTTTGTGGCGTGGAAGAGGGTAGGGTTAAAGTGGAGGAAGCTACTAGAAAGTTCTTGAATGAGTATCGTTGTAATAGCTACCAGAAGAAGAATGATTTGGTTTTGTTAAAGGATTTGTGTGTTAATCAGAATGGTGATGAAGATGATGATGACGTGGCGAGTTGTGCGAGTTCTGATCTATTTGAGTTGGATCATTTGGGTGTTTTGGGAGATGGAAGGTTTTGTGAGGAGCTTCCTGTGTATGGGACTACTCGTGTTAAATGCTGATTAATTACTACTAATGATGTTATTAGTACTGATAAGACATTGTTAATGGTCTTATTATAGTTTAGATGTATGTCATAGATATAGGAATAACAGAACCATTTTGATATTTGTTTGGTTGTTTTCTTAACTATATTTGTATGATTAAACAAGAATAATAACAGAAGCATTTTGATATTTGCTTGGTTGTTTTCTCAAGTTCCTTATGTTTTTAAGATAAAGTTTGTAAAGAGTTTTAAATAAAGGCCGCGTTCTGCGATTGTGTAAAGACTTTTGCAATTTTAATCTATATAAGTGTTGCGACACTGATTACAGTCGTTCCCGTGTGAATTAATCACATTTTATTTTTTATCATAAAAATAGTTAATAACTAAATAAGTATAGGTATATTTAATACTATTTTGTCGCGACCATTTTTCAATAGCAATATATCGTTTTAAAACCTTGTAACATGTCTTGGTGTATGTGTAATATTGTAGTAGATGTCATAGAATCTGCTATTTTCTTTTGAAATGATCAAGAATGTGATGAAAAGAAGAGTAAATGGGATACTTGTGAAAAGTGTTGTAGGGATACGTTAATTCTCATGATCAGAAGATAAAGCATTTCCAATGGAAAATTAATGAGGGAATAGTTTTAAGGGAAAAGGAAGAAAAAGAAGAGGGAAAAACGAGAGATTCGAGATTGCAATCACAAGCAAACTGAGTGAAAGGGTTTTGATGTTGATGGTAAAGCAAAGGCAGATCTTCATCCATCGGAATAGATAAAGTCATCTAAGACTAATAAAAGCTTTTGCTTTAATTTATCTCTTTCCCTTATAAAAAAAATTTCTTTCATTTTAAGTTCTTACTTACTACTAAAACTTTATACTATTTTGAAATTCACATATCCTCTAAACTTGAAGATTGAGCTACCACTCACTCTCTTGTGTATGCAATATTAGGGACACCCTTCTTTTGAAAGGCAAAGCGAATTGGGAAACTCGTATGAAGCTTTTGTTTTTTTGAAGGGTTTTGGTTAGTTATAAGTATTCATGTGATTAGTAGGTCTCTCGAAGACTCTGCACAAAAAAGTGGGAAAAAATTGGGTTGAATGAAAACATTGGGTTCGCGAATGTTGTGGTTTGTTTATGTGGTCCACACCAAAGTTCATAGTAGTACAATCTTTGTCCATGTTATGCCGGAAAAGACAAAGTCATGGACATCGGTGATCCCTAGAACTAGAAAGAACAAGTGATCAAACTGTTATCATTGCCTTGATTAAAGATATTTTATTTTCACATTCCAACAATTTGGTTTGGGTCAATATCAACACCTTTTTTAGTGGTGAAAAAATGATTTAGATCATCTACCTGTGGTTTTGAGTGTGATAAAAAATATATTGAAAATGAATGAGTTTGATTTAAAAGATTGAAAATATGATATAATGTAAAATGTCTTAAAATCTCAAATAAGAAAAGAGAATTTTTTAAAAATATTTTAGTAGAAATTTTAAAGAAAAGTTCTCTAATATAATCTCTAATATATATTTTTTTTTAATTTCATTTACTTTCAACCTTTTATTTTTCTTTTCGATGTATTTCTTTTTTTTTTTCTTTCTATTATTCTACTACTATATTTTTCTGCATTAAGGTAGTGACGAAATTTAGCCAAAGCTTATGTGATAGCATAAAGTTCACGAACATAAGCCGACTGTTTCTGCATTCGTGGAGAGAGCTTCTTAGAGAAATAGGCAATTGGGTGCTTGGATTGGCTGAGAATAGCACCAATGCTGGAGCGAGACGCGTCAATTTCTAATGTGAACGGCTGCTGAAAGTTTGGTAAGGCGACGACAGAAGCTCTGGTGATGGCTTCCTTGAGATTTTGAAAGGCAACAATGGCTTGGTGATGCCACGGGAAGGCGTCTTTTTTAACAATGATGTCAATGGTGCTGCAATGGTTGCATAACCTTTAATTAAACGACGATAGTAGCCTGATAAACCCAGAAAACCGCGTAGTTGTTTGATATTTGCAGGCACCGGCCAATTCAAAGCTGCATATATCTTGGAGTTATCTATCTCCACGCCTTGACTAGAAATTGTATGGCCCAAGTAATCAACCTTAGTCATACCGAAACAACATTTAGTCAGTTTAACGAACAGGGTATGGTTTCGTAATAGGCTCAAAACCACCTCTAAGTGTTCCAGATAAGTTTCCTAAGAAGGACAGTAAACCAGTATATCGTCAAAGAAAACCGATATTGATTTTCGAAGTTTATTCTTGAACATATGATTCATGAGACTTTGAAACGACGCTGGTGCGTTAGATAACTCGAACGACATCACCAACCATTCACATAACCCCTGATGAGTGCCAAAAGCAGTTTTAAATCGGTCTTCTGATTTAACTAAAATCTGATGGTAACTAAAATTCTTCTTATACAGGCGACACACGAAAATATTAAAATTCTAACATCAGAACAATGTCAAGACACATGTTGTTGCAACATCTGATCCGACATCCTGAACAAATTTATAACAGAAACATAAACTACAGAAAGATAAAAAAAAACACAACGATATGTTAATTCGATTCGGTGCAACATCACTTACTCTAGAGCTACCAAGTCAGGAAGAAAGTTCACTATAGCAGTATTAGTTCAAAGCTAAACTAGTCCCAAATTTATAACTTCTTGCCTAATCTCTATCCAATATTACTTCTACTTAGGCACTATCCCAAGTACGAGAAATCGCCATTTCACTTCTAATCACCGCAATGATAAAGACTCCCAATCACAGAAAAAACAATTTCAATCCCAAGAACTGTTAGGAAGTACACACTCCCCAATTACAACCAAAAGACAATCTCAATCCCAGAAACTGTCAAGAAGAACATACCTCCTAATTATAAATACATAGTTAAAACTCTTAACTACAAACAATACTTGGGTTGCTTAAAAGCTTCCACCAAAAATAATGTTTGCTCTTGCTTCACAGCTTCGAGGAGAACAACACTCAACTCATTACCTAAAGGTTTCTGAGTGAGGACAAATGTCTACCACAGGTATCGTATGATACAAGAGTGACAAACATCTATACAATACACAAGAGACTCTCAAAACCTAATACTATTTTTCTTCCCTTAATTTTATAATTGTTGAAAGATTAAAGATACATTAGATTAGGTCTTCTTTAAATACACTTCTTCAATCCATGGGCTTCGATGTTCTGAGTCCAGAAGTTTCTTGATCCATAAGTTGAGAGTTGTATCTGTTGTGCAACAAAATCTTAAATCTTGGAACAACCAATACAAAGTTTCCTAATTAGTCTCAATCAACCAAATTAGTAACTAATACACAATTGAAGATATAAACATATTTCAGGTAAAATCTTCTTGACCTGTGAAATTTACTTAAACATATCCAGAAGGAATATTCCAGAATCAAAATAAATCTGTCAAGATTTAAAACAGTAGCGCCTACTGTACTGCAGGACCAGATCAAGATGTCATGACATCTGCTTTCGACATCTGACTAAAAACACATAACAGTAAAACTGTTATGAGAATGGATAAAGATACTGCAACATCTTATTCAACAATGAAGAATCATGTTCAGAAACATGTCTAGCAAAAATTTAGCAAACCATGAAAAGATGGAACTAACAATCTCCTCTTTGAAATTTTTTGGCTAAAACCAAAACTCTAGAGAGAGGAATAAAACCATAAAAGAATAACACAGCTCATAGAGCTTATACACACAGACATGTTAGTGTTGTCGCGATATTGCTCTTATTTAAGTGTCTTCTATCCGGAGATGTGAAGGTTAAAAATCTTCGTGTCGACGCGATTGAAGATACTTAAATATAAAATAAATTCTATTTTTGGTCCTAAGATGCAATGCTTATGATTATGAATGCAAATGAACAAATCAAAAGAAATACGCAAGACCCTACTAGGATGTAGCAAATAAAAACAGGGGTTAAAAGAACAACCCGACCAAGAAAATAAATCACTGATGAACAAGAGACCCTACTCTATTGGGGTAAATCCCAAAAGAGGAAATAAGGCATCATTAACTCAAAGATTGAGGAGAGATTGTGAAGGATAATAGTGATCGACGGGTGACTGCGAACTATCCACTCACTAAGGAGATAGCAAAAAAAAGTAACGTCGATCCACCAGGGAAAGAAATAGTAAGATAATACCGGTAAATACCAATATTAGGGTAAGCTTCCAGTACTCACAACTGGAAACAAATGAACTTCTTCAGAGTTATAGAATCTCAATGACGAACTACCTTCCATAATGACAAGGCTATCATTCATCGGAAAAAGATCTCAACAACGAACTACCTTCCATAATGACAAGTGTTGTACCCCAAAATATGCCCTCTCATATTTTCTAAGGTTCTCTCTTATATGAGTGGTCACAAACACTTGATTAAAGAAAATAAATTTTTTGAAGATAAACAAGGTGTCTTCGATTGGCTTTGAGACAAAGTGTTTTCGATTGGCGCCTGAGCAGTTTATTTTTCGATCAGAATCTGGACAAGGAGCTTCGATTGTGCATCTAAAACCCTTTGATCAGGCTTTAATCCATAAGTCTTTGATTGGGCATTGGGCCTCCTTCGATCAAGATAGTTCACAAAGTCTTCGATTGGGCGTTAGGCTTCCTTCGATCAAGTTAAGTTCACAAGGCTTTGATTGCGTAAGGCAAGAACCCCCTACAAGTTTGTTTCGATTCATAAGGGCAGAGGCTTCCTCTGTGCTTGCTTTCAATGCACAAGGCCAAGACCCTTTCAACTGGCCTTCGATTCACAGAGCAATGACCTTCTCATGCTAACATCCACAAGGCATTGGCTTCCTTTGTGCTAGTTTCGACTGGGAAATGGTTCCCTTCGAAACTGCTTGCGTCAAATCTATCTCCCAACCTTTCAGCACATGATTGCCACATTATGAGCACACATTGGTGACCCATTCGAAGAATGCATGAGGCATACATGCATGCTATTAGAAAGACACACAA